ATTGTTACTCATTTCAACATTTTTTTGCTAATATTTTCCATCCAACGCTCCAGCTTCTACCTGATCTTCACACACACTCTGTCGTAGATGTTTGCACAGAGGAGCAGTTTATACTCTGGCTTTAAAAGTCTTTGTATTGTATTTTTGAACCAAAGAATGTGGACATTGTGTCTGTCTGCCTTTTATTTTGGGGGATTGGCACAGTTGGTATGTAAATACCTTCTGTAGCTTTGATATAAGATAAAAGAGGTGGTGTTTGTGAGCAGGTCAGTGGGGGCATCCTGCATTACAGATGTTTTTAAGCCATCTCCGTTTTTCCTTTCTGCTCTACATCTTTAACTGTTGAAAACATTTCAATTTGACGGCCTGCATCTGAGAAGAAAGGGAATGCACATATGGTGCCAACACTGACACAATGTCCATGTTCTCCTAAACTACTTTCACTGCTGATTAGCTGAAAATTAACTGACAGAAATGTTTGATTAATCATTCAAATCAGTTATCCAGGAAAAATGCCTAACATTCTTTGTTCCCAGCTTCTCAAATGTGAGGATTTACAGCTTTTGTTATGTCTTTGTACATTGAATATGTTTGGGTTTTGGACTGTTAGTCAGAAAAAATAAGCAATATGAACATATCAAAAAATGACCAACAGATTATCTTGTAATTTAAAGTTACAACCCATCTATTTACATTTTTGTGCCTATTTCTGTAGATGTTAAACTTGCTGGGTACATGTAGGATATCTACTGAAGGGTTGACACCTCTGTATGATACTGTAAAACCTGTCCAGTACTTTAGGAACTGGTTTGTACCAACAAGCTTAGTTTGTGCCAACTACAAAATAACAAAATATGTATGCTGAGAATTAAATATTTACCTCCTAAGCTTGAAAGGTGGCCATAAAAATGTAGTAGCTTGCTGCTCCTGTGGAGAACAGCTGCTGTGGAGCTAATGGTGTAGATTCAAAACGGTTAAAAGGGATTTCAATAATGACCCAGAGTCACAGCCCAAAACATCACTGGAAACATCTCAAATCATTCCTGCAGCACAATCCACTTCTCCACCGTTGACTTAAATCTTAATTTTCCTCCAACCACTTATAATTTCTCTTCAACAGAGCTAAATACAATGCTTATGTATTGCAAGATTGCTTCCTCATAGTTCTGAAGATAAACGTAGCTATGGTGAAGGAAGGGTCGGTTGGAACATACTGAACATAGGCAATAATGGTAGGAAAGTGGATTATGATCGAGTAGTTTGAGAGGTTTCTATTTTGCAATTCAAGTTTTGTAGCATGCTCTAAACATTTCAGGACCACCTTTAAATTATTCAGGTACTGAGTAATTGATTCTTAGAAGAGAGATCTTCTTGTAATGCCACATATCTACCTAGCTTTGACTGAGTAGTTACAGTTTTCATTCATTTGGTGTGATTGAAGCACCATTTTTTGCACCAAAAATCACTAATAGTTCTGATGTTTTTTGGCTGTGTTGCTCCCTCTGATGAGTGGCAGAGACACCAGCTGCCAGTGTTTTCATTTGAATAATTTAACACTCACTCAGTGATTTGTGGGTCTGATACCTAAACTTTAGCTTTCAGCTTTCCATCTCCTACTGAGCCAGACTATTTATTGTGTGCTCAGTATCAACGTGATATTCCTTTTGTCACTAAATTCTTCTGAGGGTGTTTATGTTGAGTTGAGGCCTGGAGCAGTATCTAGAGTATATGAATCATCTCTCATTCTATTCATTTTTTTCTCTTTTCTGTCTTGCTTTTTCTGGGGTTCGTTCTCCACACATGACCACAGTATATCAACAAAGAGCACATACACATATATTCATGATTGAGGTGTGTAGGCTGTAAATGACCTGTTGTTTGGAGCTCAGCCTGGAATAGCTCAGAAAATACTCAGTTTCGCCCACTTTGGGTATAGAAGCAAACATATTTGCATACCTGTTTTGATTTTTCACACTGATGAAGGCGTATAATGATGCCAGATACCCAGGGGGTCTGTAGTGCCCCTTAGAGTTCAATATAATATAATATTAGGTATTTTGGTTTCTCAATCTTGTCACCAGTAATGGAAAACAAGAGTTACAAGTGATACTCAAAGTATCCTCCAGGCAACCAGTTGTCAGGCTTTCACTTTCACTTCAACATGTAGCATCATTATGAGGACACACAAATGGGATCCTTAAAAAAACAGTCATAAGTGGTATACCGCTGTGTGTGGGGTGCAAAAATACTCAAAGATTGTCTCTGCCTTCTTCTAACTTATAATGTCTGTAAATATCCTTTGAAAACACTGCTTTCAGTGTTTTCCTTTTAAATTTGTTTTATCTTATTAAACTTGTTATTCTCTCTGGTAGACAAACTATAGAATGGAGACGCTGTTTCTAAAGATCAGTTTGGCATATTGATACCGATTTATCAGCAGCGGGGCCAATATATCACCATCACCAATTTATGGGTTAGGCTCTGATGTGTACATTATTCTTGGGTCAGGGTCAGCGTAGGTTAGGTTGGAGCTTTGATAAAAGACACTGGGTTGTTTTCTCATACAGCTGGATGACCACAGTGGTGGCTTTACATGAATAAAGCAGCATTATCCTGAGGTGCAGTGATATATTCCTCCAGGTCAAAAGCCCATAGTGCACAGTTCAGTTGTTGAAGATTCACTTCGAAGGCTCTCTCCAAAATCGCGCACACTATTTTTACCGTTTCACTCTGATTTTACGCAGTTTGATCTGCCCAAACCTGAGCATGAAAAGTTTCCAGTCTGGAAACTAAAGTATTTCAACTTTAACATCAATGCGGTTACACTGGACTGCAGAAGTTGTTTCTCAATATCAAACAGCATTTTTATTTGTATGCTTTCCCTTTCCCGTAGCCAGTGTCTTATTACTCTGTAGCATTGTAATTAAGTCTGTTTGTCTTTGACAATTAGGGTGCCAGAATGTGCTGTAGTTATGTTTTTGTGGAAACTGAATGCATGGTCTTTCTCAGCAATGCCTATTGATTTTAAGAGTCAAACCTGATAGCTACACAATGTAGTTTTTTTATTTTTCACTATTGGCATCTGAGCTGGTCCATTGGGTCAGCTGAAAGACTTATTTATTAACAAACATAACATAAAGAGGCAAAAAAAAAAGTAAGTGAACCCTTTGGAATATCTGCATTTATTTATAAATTAAAATATGGCCAGATTTCATCCACCATAATAAACAAACATAATCTGTGTCAACTAATAACATACAAATCATTGTATTTTTGTCCATATTGAATACACCATTCAAATATTCGTATGTGGGTTGAAAAAAGTATTTTAACCCCTCGGCTATTGACATCAACAAAAATTAAATGGAGTCAGGAGTTAGTAAGCCTGGAGTCCAACCGATGCAACCAGATTGGAGGTGTGGGTTAGAACTGCTTAGATTTATACACAACACTCTGATATTTTTAGTTTTCTATTCACAAGAAGCATCTGTTGACGTGTACCAGAGATCTCAGAAGACTTACGATCAAGAACTGTTGATTTGCATAAAGCTGAAAGGGTAACAAAGTCATCTCAAAGAGTTAATGTATTCATCTGTACACAGTAAGACAAAAGCCAAAGGAGGTCAACCAGTTATTAAATCCAAGGGTTCACTTACTTTTTCCACCAGCACTGTGAATGTTTAATGGTTGTGTTCAATAAAGCCACAAAAGATTATACTTGTTTATGTGTTATTAGCTCAAGCACATAAGGGATGTAGAACTGATAATTTGCTCCCAAGTCTATACCAAAATTCTGAAAATGTGACTGTACTTGTTTTTCCACAGTACCATAGGTACAGTAGATGTCGTAGGGGATTCTTCCAGGACGGATGAGGGCAGTATTATAATTAATAATTAATAAATAATAATTGGATAGTTATGTCCAGTGTGCCCACCTCCTCAGCATTGTGTATATTATGCATTGGGTCACTGGTGAATTGTTTCAGTTTGTATAGATGGAGTGTTCTCCAGCAAATGGAGAAAGATCTCTCTCTCTCTCTCTCTCTCTCTCTCTCTCTCTGTCTCTCTCTCTCTCTGGGGTTTTAGCTACACATTCCATATTAATTTATCACCAGCTCATTTCACAGCCCATGAATCTGTCCATGGCTGTTTTGATGTGTAGCCAATGCTGTTTAAGGCTTTTCATATATTTCTCTATAGGTTTCTAATGTTCTTTCTATACAGTTTGAAAGCAGCTTATGTTTTCAGTGTCAGAAAAAGAAGATATATCATCTTCTGGGAAGAAAAATGGATAGAAATAAAAGCATGAAACTGAGACGGCTGTGATTAGAAGAGATATTCTGATGATATGGAGTAGTATTTATTTGAAATGTGACATTAAAAAATATTATCACTGGCATGAAAATGAGGCCAACAATCATCTTAAGGCATCACAGACAAATTTCCACTGACACTTAATTATTTAGAAATGCTACCTGTGCTGTTGTTGTCACCAGTATTGTTGGTTCCCTGACATATTTCAGTCAGGTTGTTGTTTTTAAATAAGATGAGGAGTGTATGTGTGTGTGTGTCACAGTGGATTCCCCCTACATAGTGGCTCCCTATAGGCTTTCTAGCTAATGTGTTGTCTTTCTCTCTGTGTATCTGTCTGTCTGTCTTTTATGACTGTCTGTCTGTGGTTTTGGTTGTCTGTGCCCAAATTTACTCTTTTATCTTTTTTTTTTTTTTTTTGTCACTTTATCACATTTGGCCTGTCATTTATTTTCTTTGCTTTTCATGTGAGTTGTTTTGTGCATGTTCTTTGACTGTGTGTCTCCATCCTGCATTTTCCATCAACTGCTTTCTGCCTGTTTTTTGAATGTCTGCTTTGAATGTATGTTTGTGTGAGTCTTTCACTCGTCCCTGTCCATTTATGTCTGTGTATCTCTTTCTTTGTGTCTGTTCTTGTCTTTGTCTGTCTTTTCCCCTCGTCGCTGTCTCCATAATGTCCCCTCCTCCAGCCTTTGTGACTTTGCTGAACGGGGACCAGGCTCAGGATGCCATCCGCTCCCTCCATCACAGCACTGTCCGGGGACGCTTGATCAACGTCACGCTGCAGCCCACCGACTCCCTGCTCTGCCTCACCAACCTGCCGCACACCTTCACCGCCCAGCAGTTCGAGGAGCTGGTGCGCTCCTACGGAAACATCGAGCGCTCCTTCCTGGTGTACAGTGAGCTGACTGGCCACTCCAAAGGATATGGGTTTGTTGAATACATGAAGAAGGACTCTGCTTCAAGGGCCCGCTCTGAGCTGCTGGGCCGACCACTGGTACGTTCCAGTGGTTGTTTAAATGATCCTGTCATGTCTGATTATTAAATGCTGTTCTGCTACATTTATCCATAAGACATAAATATGTTGGAGCAAAGGTATCGTACGGAGGGCTTCTCTTTGTGTGAACCTTTGTTAATGAGTACAAAAAGACATTTTAGTTTGTAGAGCCTCCATGAGCCATCCCATTTACGTACTGTATATACAGTCCATATAAAAGGTCTTCTTCTCTTGCAAGTTGTATTTATACAAGTCAACTGAAACTCCTGACCACACACAGGTGATCTCCATTTAATTAATATGTGACTTCTAAACCAATGGCCTGCATAATTGATAACTTAAACTATATTTAGGCTGGATTTATTTATCCAGGGGAGATGTGGTGATTTTAATATTACCTCCACTGGTCAGTGATTTTATTCCTTCCCAGCAGGGTGAATACTTTGTTTTGATTGAATTGCATCATTGCAATTGGTTTTGTATTTTTTTATTTAGCTTCAATAAAATTGACACTAGCCGCCCTCTCATGATGTAAACATAAGTGTGCAGAAAGAGGAATAATACATTTGAGTCTTCGGTCACATCTTCAGATTGAGTTATTTACTTCTACAAAACTTGGGCGAAACTTGTGATCATCATTGTGGTGGATGTTGTGATGAAACTGGCAACACAGCCAGAACAGATAATCAGTAAAATTGCAATGCAAACGCAAAATAAACTGATGAGAAGGAATGCTGAAAGAAAACACCTCTTCTGCTCATTTTAGTGCATCAAAATCAGTTTACTGTAGATTATGCAACAACTTGTCTGACCTCACATTTGTGATTGGCAGTGACCAAAAACTATAGGTAAAAGTGCAGCTCAAGGGCTGACAAACTTTAAAATACCTAAGAACCCAGTAGATTAATATATAATAGCAAGTAAAGCCATATTCACAGATATTGTATCTTGCACTTGAAATAAATGCAGAATTTAGAGCATACTTATGATGTCGTGTAGGAGTGTGAAGCCAGTTGAGAATCTTAAAAACCTGATTAGATATCACACAACTCTGTGTAGGGGGATCGCTCACTGATGGTGCAGTGGATGGATGTAAACCAACTGAGCCAGGAGGAGAACCTGCACTCTAAGTGTCTGTGTGTTGACCGACTGCCGCTCGACCTCTGTGACTCTGAAGAACTGACACAGCTCTTCTCTGAAACCTACAAACCTGTTTTCTGCCAGGTGAGTGTCTGTATTCTTCATTGATAATGTCACATAAACTATACTGAAGGATCTGTGTTTCATCATATATATAACACTCTCACTTTGAAATGACCCCCTCCTTCCACACCCTGTCAATCAAACACCAAGTGAGAGATGCTCATATAAAATCCAGGGGTCAGTGTCCCTATTGGCAGACCTCACAGTATCACTAAGCAACTGTTTCCATGGTGAGGTGTGGCTGCTGTGACACCGGCCCCACCCTTCAGCTCCCGCTCTGCTCTGTTTCTGTTTTGTTACCCAGCTGTGCTATATACCACCCTGCTCCATTACATCCACTCCACCCCCACATACCCATTTAGACATCGCTCAATGGGAATCTGTCATCTATTGCATTTCCAGTTTTAGCTCCACCCCTCTGCCCCACTCCCCCATAGAAATCAATACACCCACATCATCCTGGTCCCATGATGCTTTGTGGGTGTTTAGTTCGTGTTGCTTCACTGTTGCAGAGCCAGCAGGCTTTGACCTATGGTTCAGCGTTTTTTTTGTTTTGTTTTTTTTTGTACATTACAGTATGTTCTTGTGAAAGTGTGTATTGCTGCACCTCACCATGTATGTCCTGGAATACTTCAAGGACGAAGCTTATGAAACCCTTCACACCAGTAAAATGATGCAGAAATGTCATAGACAGGGATATGAAAACATACAAGGAAGCTTTCAAATCGATGGTTATGTAGTCACAGTATTATTTTAGTAACTTGCCTGTGTGGGACAGTGCAGCAAAGGCATTTCAGCCACGACTGCTGCTTCAGGTTTGAGTGCTTGAGTAAGTTTACCACACTATCAGTGAAGTGGCCATTTGGGTCAGTGAGGGTGTTGTCAACTGGTTGGTAGATCTGTGGCCTGGCAGTGAGTGCAACCACACAGGCAACAAAATGATTTCAACAATACTAAGAGTCAACAGCCATGCTACTGGCTCGGTGAGGCTATACTTCTAAATACTATCTTAATGCTAACATCAGCATGTTAACAGGCTCACAATGACAGTGCTAACATGATGTTAGCATGCTAACGTTTGCTAACTAGTACCCAACAAAATAGCTGATATGAGTGTTACTTCTGTGCGTTTGGTCATAAACCAAAGTATTGGACAAATCAAAATTTCGTCCTGTTGACATAGCTAGATTAAAATTCAGGGTATCATCAAAAAGATTAAAATTCATTCTGTGGGGCACATGAATGTCTGCATCAAAATTCATGTCAGTTCAATCAATAGTTGTCAAGACATTTAAGTAATAACCTCAAATGTCATCCTCAAGGTGAAGCTAGAACAATAGTCAGGGGATCCTAAAAGTCAGTAGACTCCACCAGTATATTGACCGATATTTGCATATTGCAGAGATTAATTAAACGTAATTTAGAAAATCTCTCCATCATATAGTTTGTCCTCCAGAGAAAATTGACAAGTTTAATTTTTAACTGTAAAATATATAATATCCTATTCAGTACATACCTTGGTCAGACTATCTAACGTGAACATTTAAGTATTTAAATCGTTTAACAGCAAAATTTAAAGGGATTCTTTTGACATCTAGTCATCTAGATTATGACTATATTACTTAGCGTTACGTCCTATCACTTTGGTACATTTAACCTGTCAGACACTAAATTGTTATCTTCAGCTGTTTTCTGTCCAAGTAAGAAAATATGTAAATGATGGATCAGACATATTGAACAGGTTTGGATTTGCTGTAATTCTCAAATAGGTGAAGTGTGGGACTTATGGACAGTGTACGCATGGAAAGCCCTCAAAATATATTATTATACTGTATTTAGCTGTTGTGGAATTTTGTGCAGAAGTTATTGGTCATTTAAAGTGCAGTGGCTGATGTTTCCTATAAAAGTCTGTCAGCTAGTTGAATGTGATACTACAGGGGATATGCTTGCAGTCTGTCTGGTTTAACATTTTTTTCCATCATGATTAATATATTTTGGTGTCTGGCAGCCTATATGTTTAGTATGCTGAACATGTAATCACAGCATCCTTGGTCCATTAACATGCAAACCTTTTGTACGTCATCTCCCCATTTCTCTCCCTTCATCCTCTTTCTCCTTTCAAATTCCAAGAGCAGGCCAGAGATCAGTGTCAGCTACTGTATAGAACATCATTACTTAGAGATGTATTGCTTATTTTGCTTAAATTGTTACCTTTTACAGTTGATTCCATGAAAGACATTGGTCTTCTTTGATTGCTGCATAATAACTTGTGTAATATAATTACCTAATGTCTTGCAGTCTTCAACCCTAGTGTTTCTTACATAAACCTTAGTCCTCCTTCGTGCACATAGGTAAAACTCAGCCCTCTTGTCACTTCTCCTCTGTTCAGAGTGCATTTAACCCGTGGCCTTGGCCCTGAGCGCCACTATTCTGCTACCCACGAAAGGGCCCTCCAGGCAGCACTTTAGCTTGAGTCAGCCAGGAGAGATGGAGGGAGGAGAGGGTAAAGAATGTCAACCATATTAGAGGGAAGGACAGCAGGATGGAGACAGTAAGGAGGGATGGGAAGAGGATGGAGCTTAGAATGCCAGACCTATTAGAGAGGGGATGGAGGGAGGAAGAAGAGGGCTGACGGCGTCAGGCCTAATAGAGGGTCAGAGAGAGACAGGGAGAGATGGAGAGCTGAGGTGAAATGGTGGAGAGGCGTAGAATGTCAATCACAGTTAGAAGATTGTTGGCATGTTTGCAACTGTTAATGTAATAATGACAGCCGAGAAGTTAAAAACTCACATTTACACTCACATTGAGAGAAAAAAGAACACATTTAGTCAGTAACATACCACTGTCTGTAAAATGATGAAGATGAAAATAGATTAACAGAGTTAGGGAGGAACATAGGGATGGATGGATATTACAGAGGTGGAGTACAGATTGAAAGAGGTTAATGAAAAGAATACCTTCAACACTTTACAGGCCACACAGAAAACTGGCAGACTCAGCAGAGACAGTAACTCTTGTCTGACTCATTAAGGTTGTTCATGTCATATGTTGGTGCACACATGCAGTAGATAACACCCATCACATCTTGTATATTTGTATGTATATTTGTATATATATATATATATATATGTTTAATTGACAAGCATGGTCGAAGAGTTGTCAACTTAATCAAAAACACATTGGCCCCAAGACTGTGGGATAAATCAGAGATATTTCTGGATAAATGTAAATATAGGAAGACTAAGAACTTTAAGAGGACAGCACAGATTGCAAAACAGATTATAAAATAGGGATAGATAGACAGATGGTTATAAAGATTAATAAAAAAGATGGATACATACCCTAAAAATCAGCACTTTTTCAGAATGAATCCAAGAGCCTGTAAGAGGAAAAACAACATACAATGAGCTTTGTTTTGCTGTCAGATAACGTAGGCAGTTGCTTTGTTTTATTCAGAAGCAACAGAAAACAACACATTGAATATGTAATGTGTTTTACTCTGGAAAACATGTTCCTCACAATCATCGGCACTCATTGTTGCACAGCTAATTAAATTCTTCCCAAGTACAATCTTTAGATGCTTGACAATAATTATTACCCCCTTTGGTGAAACTCACAGTGCATCAAAGTTTTATTCAAAGGAAGAATAATTCTTAGACAGTTGTCATGTTTAATGACATCTTTTCCTGCAGACCAAACTGATGAAGAAACCTCAACATTTATTGTTTGATGAATTTCAACTTTGATTTAGTAGAATTGTTTCAATTTGGATAGCCTAAGACCAATGATTTGTTGATCAAATTTTTTCTACTTTTAATTAATCTTTTTTTTTTTTTTTTTTTTTTTAGATAATAGTCACATTTTCACCCTCTCAATCTCCTTTTTCCCATGTACCCACACACCCACCGTCTGCTGCACTCATCCAGCTTTCTTCATAAAGATCTTTACAGTTAAACTTGTCACTGTGATAGGTCATGTACCTTTCTTCAGACAGCTGTGACAGGGCTGTCGTGACCTCATCACTCGGTTCAGACAACTGATGTGGCCATTTAAACTGTCCATCTCACACATGCACATACGACGCACGCACACACGCACGCACACACACACAAAAGGAGCACAAACTGACAGGGCGGGGTTCCTCCGAGTCTTAGCCCCGTCGTCGACTCAGTCAGCATTTCTCAACTGGGCACCGTGACTAGAGGTCAAGAGCTGTCAGACACACTGATAGCTAGCTTAGCATCTTTGGTTTCTCTACTCTATATACACTCACACACACACAACCATCCTCTTAGGAAAATACCATTTAGGCCATTTACTATATTTGCATTGTTTTTCAAAAGAGTTAGAGAGTTAGTCCCTGCATTGACCAGCCATAACATCAGACTATCAACAAATTGATTGTTTTCTCCTTACAAACTTTCATTGTGTTTGTTGCTGTGCTGAAATCAGCAATCAGCTTGTCTTGTGATTTGATTCTAAAGGTTTATTAATGGCAAACTCCACTGATCTCAAACTGCCGCATCAGAAAAATTTGCCCCTCACATTATTTTAGTGCCACGACTGTATGAGACTTTGCATATAAGATTTTATAACTCTGTGAAATCAGTTTCTATGGCAGGCTATCATTCTGTACAAGCAAAAAAGGGCTTGTCAACTGCTGTAAATTATGCTAAAATCTGTGTTACTTAAGTGCCAGTGCACTTTGACTTGGCTGATTTGGAAATGATGTTTGATTTTGTCAAAACCAGCAATAAAATGTTAACGTGCAAACCAAGAGAGTATGATGTACCATAATGCCTTATAATAGCTAAGGTTAATTTTCATCACAACGGTGATGTGCAAAGGTATAATGGTATCATACACTCCAACATTATGTTACAAAGTACATCCCATGTACTGCCATGTATATACTGTGTGATATAGTAGCAAGCATTCAGCACTGGATAGTGACAGCTTAATTTCACCACTCTGGAGAATGTCAAAAATAAAGGCCAAAACAAGCACATTGTTGGCATCTA